GGGGACCAGGGACTGGGGCAGCTCCCGCAGACCTGAGGCAGCAAAGCATTTTCACCCCCGAGGGGAAACCTCTCCCTGCTCTATGTAGGCACGTAGAAATCCGAGTCCCCAGTGCGCCTGAGTCAATGATGGCAAGTCACGGGAAAACGATGTTTCCGCTGAGAAGAGCAAAGGACTGTTGGGTCCGGGCCAACTTACTTCATCTGAGAAGTTGCCCTGCAAATGACTTAACTGTAACTTGTCTTGTGCCTCCACGAGGCAGGGCTGAATCACTGTCTGGGCTTGCTGTGAAAATGGGACCGTTTTCAAGGACCCGCCTCGCCTAGAGCAGGGCCATTTCCAGGACGCTGCAGACATGCTCGTGGCGCCGGAGGTACAGGCGGGGAAAGGAGGATAGGAGAGTGAGAGTTATTTGTTTAGGAACTGGCAAACTTCCTTTTGCTCCATGTTTGTGCTGAGATAAGGGTGCTAACGGCCCCTATCACAGGCCAGGAAATGCGGCAGCATAGGAGGATTTAAGTGCCCGCAAGCACATAACCACTTCCATACCTGCATGCCCAGTTTTCCCATGTAGTGCTTGTAGGTCCTACATAAAATCCATACGATTCATGAGTTTTAGGTATGGGCAGGTAATAGGAGGGGCAGTTTGCTCAGGGGCTTCACCTCTCCCAGTGGGCAGGATGTGCATGGGAAGATAAGGCTGATGTGAACGTACAGTGACCATCAACTGCTGCTGCTCGAGGGCCACGCACTGGTGGAAGTGAAGATTCTTTCACAGGGGTGTAAAAGCAAGTGCTGCTCTTCACTGGACAAAGGGATTAAGGCAATTTACCCACATTGGAAAGAGGCTTATGTTAAAACAGCACCAGAAAATTAAAAAAAAAAAACAAAAAAAAACAAAAACAAAAAAAAACCCGGGGAATGAGAAATAGAGCAATAAACTCACTGACCCGTGGCTGGTGAAAATGTTCACCTAGTCCCTAACAAACTGCAGATGCAGATCAATATTCCTGCGCCTCTCCATGGCCAGATCCCAGGTTTGCCTCCATGCCTGCCCAGGGCACATTTGTGCACCGTCTGGCTCGTGAGCTGTGGGCCTTGCACCGCCTCAGCTTTCCCAGCAGTGCTTCCAGCGCCTCTTCTGATCAGCTCCAGCATGTTGTATAAACACTGCGGTCAAGAGGGCGTTAACAGAGGTCATCTGCAAACGACTGCGGGCAGTGGAAATTTTTAGACCACGTTGCTTTTTGGGATCCAAATACTCCTATCTGCAAGCCCTCATGGCTGCAAACATGCTCCTTAAACCTGGTTTGCGCTGAGGATCTCGGCTGTGGCTCTGGTTGAGGCATCGCGTCGGAGAGGAGCTGCCCCAGGATCTGCCACGAGACACTGCGGTCGGATGAAACTGCTGAGCTGCTCAGGCTCTGCCTTGGAAAACATACAGGCTATTTCCGTGTTTCGTGGCATTTCAACAATAAATTGTTCAAGAAGAAATTTTAGATTCTCCTGGGGTATAAAAAAATCCCATACAAACCGCCTCCAAGAGGAAGTCCAGTGTTCAGACAAAACCAGCTCTAACGATCTTTCGTTTCCTGCTGCTGAAGATGCAAGGCGGTCTGGAGCATTGAGGAGGTCAGGACTTGCAAGAAGACAAAAGGTAAAAAAAAGCAGAATTGGAATATTTTCCATCTTTGGAATGATGCTGAGGTTTGAGGCTGACCCATCCATGTGTTTTCCATCTCCACCGTACAAGAAGGGTTTTAGTCTTAACTGCACTCTTGGGCTGTTAGTCAAGATTTTTCACTAATTAAAATGGGCAGTGCAGCAATTAAAATGTTGTCCTGTGTGCAGTGAATTTAAAGCAAAGATATTCAGTAAAACAATCTATGACTGAAGTCCTAGGAATAACAGAAAGCAGAAGGTTAGCAGAAGGTTAGCAGAAAATTAAAGAGTAGTTCAGGGATCCAGAAAGAGTTTCTGCCTCCTGAACCCTCAATATTGCAGTGTGTGAGCTCAGCACAGTTATTTGTGGGATTTAGTCTCAGAGCATCCCTGTGAGGAAAGGCCGTACTGACACCGTACCCAGTGAAAATGCAGGCCTGGTGGAGTAGGTTAAGGTAGATATGCGCCTTTAATGTGCGAGAGGACAAGACCTACGAACCCCATAGGGGCTCAGCTGCTCGCAGTGCTCAAGGTGACTAGTTATGCCTGTAAGGCAGCGCAGACATACCTGTCATGGTTTGGCCAAGATTAGGGTTGGGCCAAGGGTTAGGGTTAGCGTTGCCGACCCTATGTTGCTAACTATGGGGAAAACCTCTTGGTCAGGCCTCCGGGCTGGCTCGCTTTGCAGCTGACGGATGCAGAGACACAGGAAAGGAGCCAGTTTCCTTTGTTTGCAGAACAATTAAGCTACTTTTGCAGATATTCTGGGATTTCTTATCATTTCTATTACCCACATTTGTTGTTTTATATGATAGTGTTAAAATTCAAGTGCGTGGGGTCATTAAAAAGCTCTGCTTGAGTAAATACACCTCATACATAAACTTCCTACTTTGAACTTTAAGATTAAACTCAATCATGAACTATCAAAAAAAAAAAAAAAGAGAGAGAGAGAAGATACCAATCAAGGTGCTCTCTCTAGCTGTAATAATGTCAAGAAAATATATTTGAATAAGAAGCTGCACACAGGAAGAAAGAATCACTTCATTTAACACGTTGAACTGGAACTAATGGCTTCTGCACTTCCCTAGCAGTGTCTCAAAAACCCTGCATGGAAGGAACTTAGCTTTTTTTGCTGGCATGGACACTGGGAATGCCAGGTGTTGCTGGAAAATTAGAACTTTGGATGCAGGTTGTTAATAGCAGGCAAAAAATGTGTAAATAAAAAGCTTGTTGGATTATGTTTAAGGCAGGGTACTTCCAAGGTCAGTGTAGAGCAAAAATATACTGTTCAGTCCTACGTTCTGGCTTGGACTGAACTTGGTAGTAATGATACAACAATGTCCTTAGTGCAATAGCATCGTCTAGTATTTACGCCTGGGCCCAGCCAGTGCAGGAGGCATTAAAGGGTTTGTATCGCTAGTTCAGTTTAGGAAGAAGGGCGCACACATACAAAAGGGTCTGAACGATGGGAATGCTTGAATTGGGTGCAAGAAGTTAGACATTTTCATTAGACTTTTTCTTCCTGCTTTAGGGCTGGCAGAAATACCTGAGCACTGCCCTTTTGTTAATATTTTAACATTGTCTTTCTACTCAGAAATGCAGAGGAAAAGAAAAGGCACAGAAGAATCAAACAGTCTTTTTAAACCTTGGCTAGAGGCAGCTTGAGTCACAGGAAGTTTTTATGATGTTTAAATAGTCCTCCTTCAGTAACGTGTATTCTAATTTTACAATGAAGACAAACAACCATCAGCCATCATCGTCATATTCACCCTGAGCCAAAACCCATTGAAATTAATTGCCTTTTCATCAGGTTTGGACATCTCATTTCATGGTTCATAAATTTTCATTTTGTTTGCCAAAATATTGTTAAAGGCAGATATACCCAGTTAGCACAGGCAGAATTTCTACTTCCTTGATATCAGATTAAATTTACATTTTGTTGTTGTTTTTTGTCCTGATTCTGCTTCCAGAGGCTGTGGGCTGTGCTACATTTCATGGTTTTGAAGTGGGGAGGCTTGTTATTGGAACACAAACAGTTCACCTTAGAATTGTCTATTGTAACCAAATTGGCTGAGAAACAGCATCAAAAAGCTTTTTAGTGAAAATCTGATGGCCCATTTTAATGGTGAGGATGCATCCATGTCAGAGCTCACAGACAAGTCTGCTTTGCTGTCAGATAGCAAGCATAAAGGAATTAGCAGCAAAATCTCCAGTTGACAAGAAGTTTCTGGTAGGTGGGAGCTCCTCAAAGGGCAGATAACAGCTCCCTATGCCTTTCCATATCTTATTTCTGAAAATCAGTGTTTGACATGAGAGCTAGGCCCAAACCTAAAGGGCAGGACCTGAACGCCTGATGCCTGGGAAAGTTCAGAGACCTAGAGTGCTCTCTTGTAACACTGTGCAGCCAGACACTCAGCCTTCTAGCGAACTTCCTGCTTCGCAAACATTTCACAAAAGGTTCAGAAACGTCAAAATTTCCTCTTTTTTACATATTGCAGCAAGCTTTTCAGCTGAAACATTTCAAACTCATCAATTGTTTATCAAGTATTTCAAAATGAATCCAAGCTAGAAAAGAGTCAAAGAAGCTGCATGGGGGGGAAAAAAAAAACTGAGAGAGAGGGCTAAGATTATCTTCTGGTCCTCAGGTGAAACATTTACGGACTCCAAAGTTTCTGAAGACAGGAGACCAGTTTTCCTCCCAGCCATTCCATTAAGATGTCTGTGTGCTTGTCATCTCTGGGTTTTTCTTCCTGACAGGAAAAACAAGAGTTCTGAGATGAACCAGGCTGTGATTTGCAGGCTCCTGGTATGGAAAGCAAAGAGAATGATTTATACTTCCAGTTTTGATCGGTTGCTTTCAGGATGTTCGTGTCTGTCACTTGCAAGGTATCATGAAGGATGACCAAGCAGGAACGTACTCAGCTTTGCAGTCTCAGGGCATTCAGTGCGGTACTAATGCATCATTTTAGGCACTAACGAGCATGTCAGATTGGTGTGTGAAAGAGGATGGATGTCCCTCCGGTGCAGGAATCTAAGCGATGTTCAGAAGAGACAGCCTCCCAGATCTGTACTCTCCGGTGAGTCATGCCCATATTAGACTGAATCCAAGTCTGTCGTTCTCTGTCTTCTGGAGAAGATAAACCTGCTCAGCTGAAGTCAGATCCATCACTGCCACACATGACACAATAAGGTCACAATAATTATCTCTAAGGAAAAAACGCAAATGGCTGAAAATGATCCCTAGCTTTATCTCACAGATCTTACATTTTTAATTCCATCTTCCTATCTTTTACCTCTCTTTTTTGAGGTGTCACATTTGATTTCCCTGCCACCATGAGGGTTATTTTTGCTTCTCCTCTGAAATTCAGCTCCAATCATTTTTCTCCAGATTGAAATGACTTCCTTGCAAACCTGGGTTTGTTCTTTTTGCTTTTACACGTTTTGATTCGTTTGTTCTGAGGTTTTTGCCTCATCTAATCTCTGGTTTTATACTATGTCTTTCAAACCTAATCCTGTATTGTTGAATTCATTTTTATTTTCCTATAGCCATGACTTCTTTCTCTTTCCACTTTTTTTTTTTATTGTATAGCTTCTCCTGTCCTCTTTTAACTGTTACGAGCAGACCGTAAATCTAAAATTCTGTTTATTGGCATCTATCATTAGGCTTTCACCTAACCACAGATGTTGCAACCAAATACATATTTCTGCTACTTCATTAGGCTACTCCTCCAACTTCAGCAGGGAGGATAATGGCTGATACATGCACAGAAACAAGGGCTTAGATTGGCCCTACATGCACAAGTCTGACTATTTCTGGAAGATTACACTGTTATGGAATGTAAAAGCATGACGGAAAATGGGGAAGGAGGAAGGAGAATCAGTTCTAGGATGTTCTGAACTGATAGAGTTTTTGCCTGGTTGGCCTCATTTTTTCCAAATGTAATTTCTAGCCAGTAACTTGAGTTATTACTCTTCATGAATCATGCAAGTAGCCACGATTTCTTCAATGGGTGCTCAGATTATAGAAATATAAAATGTGCGCAACCTGAGCACTGATTTTTACCTAGGACTTTTTTTCCTGAAGTCACTTGGTGTATGACTTCTAAAAACAGCAAAATCATTCATCTTAAGGAGAATAATGGCCTATAAAACATAGAGGTAATTTCTTCATATTTATGAATCCTTTCCCTTCCACCCTTTATGAATACCCTTCTTAATGAATGCTCTTTTTCTTTCATGAAGGTATTATGAGCAATTATGTCTTCAGGTTTTAGTGTGCTGATAATGTAATCAGATGCCCTATACTTCATCCCCAAGTTATTGACTATCCACGCTCCTGAGAGGGACTAACTACTTTCTAATCCCATGGACCATGTTGATTCCAATTGGCTGGAACTTCTAGGGAACATGTGATCTTCTTTAGACATTATGCAAATGCAAAAACTCAGTCTGCTTCAGAATAGACCCTAAAAAGAGTTTGTGGAACCCAAATGCTCTCTGCAGTGCAAGCCTTCTATTTTGGTCACATACGGGTTGCTTAGTTAGGGCCTTTAGCCATTTAGACTTACATAGCACTTCTGTTCCTATTTGGCAGCACAAAGATGGCTTAAAAAATGGAATGAAAATTAAAAAGGACTTAATGAAAATAAGAATTCAGGCCCTGAACACTGATATAAAAGGAGTATTAATCCCTTCTCAGACTTTTACCTAGAATGAGGTGCAATTATGAATAGAAAGATCATTTCAAGTTACGACAGATTTGATGAAAGAACATTCAACCACTGTCAGAAGGAAAACTATTATATTGCTGCTAATAAGTATTCATCAGTTTTCCAGGGAGTTAGATTACACCAAGTAATAAAAAGTGTGAATGACAGCTCTTTTGGGGCAGGTAAGAACTAGAAGAAAACATCTCCCAGGAATGCTGGTATAATGCAAACACCTTGCCCCTATTGATACTTTTGTTCATGTTCTCTTGACTAGTCCATTTTCTGCCCAGTGAAGCTTTTGTAAAGCTTCATTCTAGGAAACCCTCCATCCCTTGCCTCATTCACAGCGGTCCAAAACACAGAAGGGTTCTTTTGTGTGCGTGATGTTATTTCTGACGCCTAGGACATCTAGCCACTATCTTCCTCGCCTATCCCAGGAATTAAAGCTAGTATGAGAGGAGCTATAAAAGCCTGTTCCCAGCCTGAAGTTAACAAGACCCCCATCTAACTAATTAGACTTTGGATAAGGTCCAAAAAGGCATAATTCCAAAATCTATCTTGTATAAAACACCACTGCAGCCACTAGAACAACACTAATTATACATGGTATGAGGATGCCTTCTCTTATCACCATCTCTGTTCCCATTCCAGGAAGGAGGCTGATGAGGAGCTAGCGGAAAACTCTCCTCCTGTTCACCACCTGAAATATTTTCTGTCTGTTCATTCCATGCACTGGTCAGGGTCTTTGGAGCTTGCCAGTAACAGTTGAAAATGTAATAGTAGAACTCAAGAACTGGTGTTTGTGCAGAGCAAATCCCAGCTCAGTCTTTGTTTGTTGTAGCTATTTGGCTTTCCCACTGCACATTGGAAAATACAAATAGGAAGTGTACACAGAAATTCTCCTAGAAACAGCAAATGGATATGGCCACGAACTACTTGGCTAGGTCACCTTGGAAAGCAGTTACCAGTGAAAGACAGAGAAACTATTCAAAGAGGTAAATTCTTCTGTTTTATTTTAGTTTAGTTTGTCTTCAGCTTATTCCTCTGAAAAATCGGAGAGTTTGGTTTGATCCTTATCTAAATCAAGTTTCATTTCCTCCATCGGATGTTGGTTTTTTAGGATGGTGATACAACAAATGGTAGCTAACAGTAACACTCTGTATTTTGCCCACTGCCTTTTGCAACAGCAAGGTGGTATGTGTACCTTGACCAGAGCTTGCTACAGATTTCTTTAAGCATCTCAGCCTTAGCTTCTGATCTCAGCAGTCTTTTCTTTTGCGTATACCTGTGGTCTTTTGACAGATACTTCAATTGTAAGTAATGCAAGACAGGGATTGCCTTTTCTGTTGCTTGTAAACAGCACCCAGCAGGGCACCACTGCTGCCAGGAGTCTCTTGCCACTACAAGATAAGCTAATAATTAATCAGAAGAGGTGCACCTTGCAGTAACATTAACAGATGGCCCATCAGTTGTTCTGATTTGAATCACCATGTTAATCATTTCTATTCCTTTGCCTGGTCCAGCTGGCTTAGCTGAAGGAAGATGAGTGCTCTATTTCTTGTAATCTTGGTGTCCACTGCAAATGTTGGTGCCTTGCTGGAAGAGGGACTGCCGAGACGGGAGCCTCGGCGCCTGTCGTGCGTGCGGTGCTGCCGGCCTTCGGAACAGCCTGTCCCCATCGCCTCCTCACGGTACACGAGGATGAGCAATGACCCTGCCTATTCGCTTCCCAAAGTCCAGCCCACAATAGATATCACCATCCTCAAAGGTGGGTAAAGCTGACTGCTGTGGTAACGTCCTTTTTCTGTCTTAAACGTTCACACTTGTTCTGCAAGATGTGCTCCTTCCCCATGCTGAGAAACCCATTTTATATTATTTACCAGAAAAAAGGTCAAGGGGTGACATGACACAGGCTATAAATGTGTGCAGGTGAGAAGAGATGGCAAAAAGCTCTAATTCATCAGGAAAAGGCAGTGTGAAACTGCCTCACTGGAAGCTTAGGTTAGACCTCACTAGAAACCGGCTGCAAATGTTATCTCAGAATTACTAAACAGTAGAATAAGATATAAAGAATGAGGACAGTCTCTAACTCATGTTTTCCATGTTACATTTTTGTTTCATTAAGGCAGAGCTCAGAGAAAAATTAAGCACATAAGGCACATCACAGGGTGTTCTGTGAGCAGGGATGCGCAGATCAGGCAAACCAAAGAGCCGCCCAGGTCCAAACCAGACCTCAGCCAAATCTGTAATTTGTCTTGCCCTTCCGCACAAAGGGGCTGTGCATCTAACGGGATACACGTAAAGAATCTGGCCAGGCAGTGGGGTTTCACTATTGGAATTATTTTGATCACCGACAGGAACTCAGTGGAGCCACGATTTCACCTGGCATTTTTTTCCTTTTTGTTCCATTCTGCTGTTACTCACCTTTGCATTGGCATTGTTTTCCTGTCCCCAGGGACATGGACCTAAACTTTGTAGATTAATCCCAGAATGGAGTCACTGTTAAAAGCCTCATTAACTACGAGCTTGTCGGTATACTTAGAATTGCCCACACTTGGAAACTAGTCAGAAGCGGCTTGTTCATGTAATGACCAGCCATTCAGTGAGAGAGAGACTGAGATTTAGAAGGGTGTTGCTGTCTGACTGATGCGTCTAGATATCTGTGTTGTTGAAACAGTATTTTAGCAGGCACTTTGCTGGTTGTGTCCAGCTGGATGTGTCCACAGCTAGGGCTTCACATGCTTGTGTTTGACAACATTTCCCTTTACGCTTACAGGTGAGAAGGGTGAAATGGGAGAAAAGGGGTACCCTGGAGCAGTGGGAAAGGAAGGAGAGAGAGGCCTTCGTGGCTTTAATGGACGAAAGGGCCAGAAAGGCCAGCCTGGCCCACAAGGCCATTCCTGTAAGCAGCTCTATGCTGCTTTTTCAGTGGGTCGGAGAAAACCCCTTCATAGCTCAGACTACTTCCAGCACGTCATTTTTGACACAGAGTTCGTGAACCTCTACAAGCACTTCAACATGTTCTCGGGGAAGTTCTTTTGCTATGTGCCAGGAGTCTACTACTTCAGCCTCAACGTTCACACCTGGAACTTCAAGGAGACCTATCTGCACCTGATGAAGAACGAGAAAGAGATGGCCATCCTCTATGCCCAGCCCAGTGATCGGAGCATCATGCAAAGCCAGAGCCTGATGCTGGACCTGCAGGAAGGGGAGGAGGTCTGGGTGCGGATGTTCAAGCGAGAGCGAGAAAACGCCATCTATAGCGAGGAGTCTGATGTTTACATCATCTTCAATGGCCATCTAATCAAGCCAGCTGTAGAGTAGCCGTTCTTCAGCTTTAGGCTCCAAGCTTTGGTAGGGGTTTTGTCAGATGCATTACTGTTTTCTCTCTTAGAAGTGCACATGTCTAGCTCCACTTGGAAAGATTATGGCTGGCAGGGTCTTGGCCTGCGGATGGGGTTGTCTGTATAGGCCAAGAAGAAGGTTCCTGTGTGGATGGAGGGGGTGGTGTATCGAGGTGATTGAAATTGTGCGAGCACAGAGGAGGCTTTAGCTGTTATGTGCCCCTGCAGATGAAGTACACAGAAGGCCCCAGTCTACAGCCCTGTATAGACTCCCAGTAACATCTCTGGCTGAACAGTCTGCCAAGTCAGTAGCAAAAAAAGTAACCTCTTTGCTCTGCTTTAAAGACGACATTTTAATTAGATCTAAGGACCACCTTCAGATACCAGTTATCTGGGTGCTAGTTAAGGAATGTAATTACTCCTACAACATTACTAAGGTATCTTTGCAACGTGCAGTAACTGCTAATAGAATGTCCACACTGCCATCGCTTACACCAACTTTGCTCCACTCAGGGAGGGCAAGAATACAGCACTGTTAAGAAGAATATTTTGCACAGTACATTTACTCTAAATTATGTTTTTGTTCCATTTCATGTTCTGAGAACACAATATGAGAATAAGTAACAACATACTGATCTGGCAAAGCTTTTTCAGAGGCACATAGTTTCAAGCACAGGTGTTGCCGCATGCAATAACTTTGCTAGACTGCTTTATTCTTAACAATGCTTCTTTCACAAGAACATCCAGCATGGGTGGAAACCTGTATTTTCCATTTCAATGGAAACTGTGGGGCCTACTGTAGGATCTGATTTATGAGTGCTCATTGCCGAGTGGGAATTTAAGGACATCAGCATGTCTGAAAGCTACTATCTTATAGCACCCTCATTTCTAGAAACTGGAGAAGAAAATCAGGAAGAAAAAATATTTTATTGCGAGCTGATTTTTATTTTTTGTAAAATTTACTAATGTAACAGTGGAAAGGTACATGCAGCAGCAAGAAGCCTTGTTATCAGCATTCATTTCTTCCCCATTCCCCCAGTCTCTTGTTTGCGTTGTGAAACATTTGTGTGAAGGACAGAGCAAAAGGTCTTGCTATGCAAATTGCTTCACTGCTGTACCTCCTCTATCCACAGCTGTTTAGAAAAGTAGCTAAAATAAAGATACTGCTTCGAGTACACTGGCTTTGTTTATCTTATTTCCATATGCTTTTCACAGTACAAGACTAAAAGCAGTAGACTGAACATCCAGTTCCACACAGTCATCTAGGGTGGCAATTTTAGTTACTTTAATGCCAAAGGACTCCAGAAACTAGAGTGACACCTTCAGTTCCTCTCCTTGCAGGCCAGTAAACAGCCATCATCTGGTATCAGGATGCGGAGGGAGAGAAGTTAATGACAGATACCAAACCTTTTAAAGTTCTCACAGCCTTAGAGAAGAGAGGAACTTTTAACTAACCTGTCTGCAAAGTAAATGCATCGTGAAAGTGGGTCCATGGGCCTTGAAACATCATGTCATCCCTGCTTCCATCACAGGCTGCAGCAGCCCTGTGAAGGGAAAGTGAGAAACTCACAGCTTTAAAAAAAAAAAAAATGCTCCCCAGAGGCAGCAAAGACATTTTATCCAGATTCTCTCCTGACCTGCTGTCAGATATCCCAGCAGCTGAGGTCAGACCATTGCACAGCATTTCCTTTTTCTCCCTCCTTAAAAAATGTTTCCTAATCAGCAGTTTCCATTAGGGTGGTGGTAAAAGCCCTGATGGCTGCAGTGCTTATTTGCAGCATGCCACTTAGCACTGAAAGCACTAACAGGGAGATGCCAGCCCTGAGCAAACACACACAAGCAGAAACATTCCCACTGCACTGGACTCAGTGATGGCATTTGCAGATCGTTTTCCCCTAGCTGTTAACCACACTGCAGAAAGCTTAAAAGCTTTCTTGCTTTTGTTTCTACTTCCGACTCTCTCTCCACCCAGGCCTAGATTTTTCAGCTGCAGAAAGTCATCCTTTGCAGTACAGCAGGGTTTAGGGTACTGCTGGCAGAGGGGCACATGGGCTGCGTTGAGATGCCTGTGGCAGAGCAGAGATCATTCAGTGAGGCTGAAACCACCATGGGGCTGTCTAACATTCTGCACATATTGAGTGGTTTCACCGCAGCTTCGTCTCACCCTCTCTGTAGCTTGCTGCATTGCCTATGATTAAAAAGAAAAAAAAATGATCTAGCCCTCTTAAAATGTCATACCCAGCTGGAGTTATTGACAGTGCTTAATCCAGCACTGGAAAAAACCACAGAGTGTGTTTATGTTCAACCTGCACTGATTACGGAAAAGTTACTTGCTACCAGGAAGCAAGGAAAAATCCATATATACACATCTATATATACATATGTATACCTTCCTAACACCTCCATAACACGCAATTAGAAACACTCTGATTACCTAAGTGATAGCATACATTCAAAATGCTCTTGACTGATATGTCAGTGTGATAAGGCAGTAAATCACTGGAGCCACATTGGTTTCAGGTGCAGAATAACCTTTCAAACAAATAAAAGTGGTTGCTGCTTTATGCATGTTAATAGTTAGCTATTTATATTAAAGAACTAGAATTCTCACTTCACAACATCAGAAACCAAAAGAGAAGAGATGGAACTAGAGGTTGCACTGCTGGTGCTGAGCAGCACGTGCTGCAAACAAAGCCTCCTGTTTAGCTCAGCATTCAAATGCACAGCTTCTAATATTGATGTTTAGAGGATAAAGATGCACTACTCATACTGTAGAAATACACATATGAGGACAAAGTTTCTGTTAGGGCTTTATTGGTTTTGTTTACACATGTTAAAAAAGCTTTCCTCATTTTTGGAAAAAATTTGAAAGATCTAAAAAGCATCATGTACAAAGAAATTCCTGCAGCCACCTTTTGAATACATGAATACCTCTATCTTTTTTTTTCTCCAACTTCAAGGGCTGGAATAAGCATCCCTGTTTGGAGAAGTTTAATGAGCCAAACCCAAAGTACAAATATTTGAGATCTGCTCATCACCATATAGGCAGTTTGCCAGGGCCTCTCATATAGAATTTAATTCCTTTTTTCCAGCGTTACATGGCATGGACAACAGATTTAAAAAAAGTTTAAGTTTACTCTTTTGAAGAGAAGAAAATTGGGGAGGGTAGTGCTGAAATCTAAACGAAAGGGAAAAAAAGACTCAACTTATATTTCTTTTCCAATTATTTTCCTTAAATTGGCACTTTTCATTTCACCCTTTGAAAAAATCACCAGGGATCTGCCAGAATTTTCTTTGAGTCCTGCAGTGAACAGTATCGCACATAGAAACAAGGAAACTGCCTTAACCACTGTAAATCCCAGAAACATTTCATTAATAAATTTTAGCTCTCTTATGGGCCCCTTTCCCCCAAGAATCCTTGCAGAAGATAAAGCCCCATGGTCCAGGCCACTAGGAAACCAAGTTGCCCAAATAATCTTCCTTTTTCCCTCAAGTACAGCCAGAAAGGGTATAGCCAAGTGAAGGTCAGGGAAACGGGGGGAAGCAGGGGGACCTTTTTGAGCCAATGCGAGGAGCAGGGCAGAAGGAGAACCAGACTGTCGGTAATGGAAGTCACAGGTTAAGGAAAGCAGCAGAGGAGAAGCAGCAACCCTCACATCTCACCTGCTTGGCACAGAAAGATTAAAACAGACTTTGAGACACTACACCTCTTGTTTTCTGAATATTGTGTCTGCACCAGATTTGCACTTCTTGGCCCAAATGCTGACTACAGGTAGGAAATAAACTCTTCTAACATCCCCCTTCATTTCTTCAGTGCCAGAGCCCCCAGAACAGCACCTCACAAGGAGAGAGAGTTTGTCCATTGTCTGTTCTTGCTTGCAGCTTGACAACAGATCCAGCTGAGTTTGATCTGCAAGATCATGGACCTAAAAAGTAATGAATGGGAGAGAGCAAGCAAATGACCTGCTCTGCATCCACCTGGGAGGGGGAGAGATTTATGTTCAATATTAGGGAAAACCATTAAGACTAAAAGGAGAGTCAAAGTCTGCAAGAGGCCACAGCAAGAAAGATAAGCTCTCCGTCTCTGGAAGCCTTTGAAGGCACCTGCCAGAAATGATAAAGGTAGCACTAGCTTAGGACAGAGAAATGAACTACATAGCTGCATAATGTCCCTTTAACCTTCTTTTCCTGTAGGTTTACATTTCAGCCTGTTATCCTACAGGAAAGTCTGAAAAAGCTGCAAGAAATAACATCCCCTAAAATTCACCATACAAGGAAGTTAAACCAGGCCTTCTTTTGCATTGCTTTAAAATGTTCCAGCAGTAGTTTCCAATATTGCAAACCCATATGTAAGAAACCCTGCAGCAAGAGCTCAGTAATTACTGGGAATCTATCTGCCCCATTGAATCCTACACTTAGGTCTGTCTTATGACTTCCAAATGCGCTCATTCATTATCCTTTCTTAGATGATTGTACCCAATGAAGCACTGCATTAAGATTTGCAGGATTTCTGCAGAGCCCTTACCTAGCTACATAATTACTCTGTAACTTGCTTCTGTTCATTTTCTTAGCTTTAACTCCTGCAAGTGTAAGACAGGAAAAAATCCTCATGCTATGCAATAGACTTGACCTAAAAAAACCCCACTCCTCCTAGTTCAAACACAGAAGTATCTAACTTCTAACAGAACCTGACCCTTTTCCTCTTTTTTCCTGCAAACTTAAAATAGTACAATTTTTTTCTGAAGCTTTTTTTCCCCCCTCTACTCCTGCCTTTTTTTAAAGCAGAAAAGAAAAAGGTAGGTGAGCTCCTCTTTATATAGAGAGGCAGCAAATTAAGTGGTGCACACCTGTGTATGCCTTAATGAGCCGAGGGACTATATAAGGCAGCAGCAAAAACTGTGGTGCCTTTTGGTCTTGTTGAGGTAGGATTTCCATATGTTCAATGAGGATGCTATGAGGGTGAAATTATGGGTGAGGATTTTTCTTTATAGCTATAGAGGGCTGGACAAGGCACTACTTCATTTGCCACCTTCAGGCTTTGGCTAGCTAGTTAGCTGAGCTGAGGGCACCTCTATCTCTTACTGCTGTCCTCTGTGATGAGTTGTAGCAGTGCTGGGTGTGAGGGGGTTGTTAGAGGGACCCTGTCCTATTGCTAGTCCTGGAACTTCTTTGCTGACTCAACAAATAATTTGCTTTGCTGACTCTTCAGATAGTTCAATACTTCCTTGTGCAATCTTTAAACAATGCTGTAGCTACTCAGAAAGGATCTCAGGAAAGAGATATTAAAGGGCTTATAAACATGGCTGTGACAAGCAACTGGTATAGGGGGTAATAGCTCTTACTGTGCTGTTAGCACTCAATATACCTGGCAGAGAGATTGACTGCACCAGTATTTAGTGGTCTTACTGTCACATGGTAGCAAGGAAACTGAAATCTTAGCATGCTTCTTGTTTTCTCTCCTAACTATTCTATTCCCACATGCTTGTGTCTATTCAGCTCCTGCTATTCTCTGCTGTTGGCCTTGTCTAAATTGATAAAAATTCTAAACCAGTCATTGACTCTGAGACTATTTCAGTGAGCTGCAAAGCCAAAGCAAAACTCATCTTATTTAAGAGAGCACTTTTGGTAGCATTTTCTATACTTCAATATGTAAAGCAGCAGGTGAAGGTTAGGACTTAATTTTGCTGTAGAAGGCAGTAGGTAGGTTAGTGATTTTTCTGAAGCATGGTTAATTGCCCTGCTTGCACCTGTATGCTAGTAATGCATTGTTAAAGCCAGGTGAGAACAGGGTGGATGACTGATTTGGAGTCCCCTGAGCTACCCACTAAAGCAGTCTGGCTCCCTTCCAGCCCCACAAGCAGCTCGGCTGGTTTCTGGTGCTCTGCGCTGCTTGCTGTGCTCTCGTGCTGTTCTAGAGCAGAAATGCCCTTGCCCTGATGCTGCTCCCTGCTTCAGACCAGCTCTCTGAGCCAGGGCTTAGGGTCAAAAAGCCTCATGTCTTGTTCCTTGCTGAAGTCTTTCAGCTGTCCTTTACACAGATAACTTGATTCCTTAATTTTATTTCAGCCTGAAGCAATAAGCCATCCCTTAGTAATTGCTGTAATCAGGCAGTTCTGTTCTTCTGGCTGAGCATAAGCTTAGTAAAGGTTGTGAACTGGTGTGATTCA